GCTGATGACAGACAATATTTGGCACATCTATCAAATGACATTTACTCACCAACAAAGGGAACATACTGATTCAGACAAGACTAGATCTGGACCTCAAAAGATCTTTGCTAATCAAAAGAATCCAGACCCTAAAGAATACATACTGTATGATCACTATATATATATATATATTTATATATATATATATATATATATATATATATATAGTGATAGGATATGATGTAAGCTGAGAAGCAACATCTGTGGTTATCTAGGGCCTGGGGTGGAAGGAAGGGATGATGATTGATGAAAATGTGCAAGAGGGAACTTTTTGGGGTGATGAAAATGTTTGATTGTAGTGGTGGTTATAGAAGGACATGTATATGTTTGTCAAAGCTTATTAATCAGTGTGCTTAAGATGGTCATATTTATTATATGTACACTATAACTCAAAGTTGATTAGAAATATCGCTTTTTAGTGTGCAAGGAAACAGCTATTTTAAATACTGCCAATGGGAACTGAGTTATATAGCCTTTGGAAAGGTAATTTGTACCAAGCTAAAGGTTCAGCAATTCCACCTATAATTTTTCATAAGACTATCATAATGTTTAAGGTATTAAAAATATGAACATTTGGATAAAACTGAAACACAGGTCATTAAAAAAGAAAAGAGGTCTAATATATGAAGATATTCAAATATACTTATTAATTTAAGCAATATAGTTTTACAAATATATTATTGACCTATCAATTTAGCAAACATTTCTAAATACCAGAAGCTAAGCATCTACTAATAGGAAAATATTATGAAAATGGTGGAATATCCATATGATGGATTTATACAGGGTGGGGCAAAAGTAGGTTTACAGTTGTGAGCATGCGAAACAGTTTATTTTTGTGTTATTTTCCATGCAAACAACTGTAAACCTACTTTTACCCCCTCTGTATAACCATGAAATAGTATTATAAATGATGTCAGAAAGTGATTAGAACAATGCCAACAGAAAAAAGATGGATAAAAGCAGTTTATACACAGTATGAGCTCAAATCCATAAAATAAGATAATTTAGGAAAATGAAAACATGTTAATAATAGAATTCTAAGTAAAAAAAATTGAGTGGTTTTTCTATTTTTCCTGCTCAGATTTTTTGCAATATATGTTACTTTCATAATCATTTTAAATGGTGAGATGGATTTATCATCCCTGAAAAATTAACATGTATTTCTCAAATTCTAGAGATTTTATAAATTCTATTAAGGATATATATATATGCTAATGAAAATATTAAAAGTTTATGTATGATAGGCTAATTAGCAACAATAATAAAATGAACTTTTGTTTTATAAATCACCAACTCATTTGAAGATGGTTTAGTATTACTTATTATTATTGACCAGAACAGGGCTTTACACATTTTAAGTGCAATTGAATTAAGTTAAATTATAAGGATATTTTACAAACACTAGCTGATCTTTTGAGAGAAGAAGCCTGAAATCATGGTAGGTAAGTGGAAGAAACAATGCTGAGGCCTTTTAAAAAAATAAATAAACACAAAAGTTGGTTTTTAAAAAACAAACGGATTATAACAACAGCTAAGAAAAGACTTATGTTTGAATAATCTTAAAACTAAGAAAGACTCAGTAACCCAAGAGAGCAAAATAGAAGTCTGCTGAGAGCAATAGTCACATAGCTAAATAAATGGCACATGAGGAGCATGTTGTAGTAAAACTTAACTAGGGCTTACCATGCCTTAGCTGTTTTAACTTCTTCTTTCCTATTCTTTCTTCTGGAGTTCTATTTTCTGGGCATCTCACTACCTAGCTCAGAATCTCTTCTCCTTTGGCTAAGAACAGATGGGGTTCTAAAAACTGACATTCTTCTGGAAGAACAGAAGAAAGTACATAGGCTCTCTACTCCCGCTCATCCCATCTGTGCCTTCGAAGGAAAACTTACCCAGGCGGGCTCCCTGGGTGATGCAGTTTATACACAGGTATAATTCTGTGCATTTGTGTAGTACTCTTTATTTTATGCAACACTTTCACACACGTCATTCCACATTGGTCTTGTGATGGATTTTAACATCTCCATGTTAGGAATGTAAGAACTAAGATTCAGAGAGGTGAAGTGACTTTCTCTTGGTTTAGACTAGGCGGCCAGCTAATGATAGGAGCAGGCCAAGAACCTTGGTTTCCTAATTCCTATCTAGGAACTATCATCATTGTACCAAGCTGTTCATATAAGTAAAAGAGCTACAAGTTGATCATCGGTGGTTTCTTATTTCTCCTTCAGTGAGAACATATACAGATTGTTACCCGTTGAATACTTTAGCACTGCTATGAACTGAATGCTTGAATTTATCCAATATTCAAGCCTAAATTCTCAATGTATTTGGAGGTGGAGCTTTTCAGAGGTCCTGGGGGTAGAGCTCTCATGAATAGAATATCTAGGATCTCTAGATATCTATCTATCTATCTTCTATCTATCTATCTATCTATCTATCTATCTATCTATCTATCTTGTCCTTCATGTGATGACACACCATTAAAGTAGCCTTCTATGAACCTGGAAGAGTTCTCTCACTAGATGCCATATCTGTTAGCACCTTTTTTTTTTTTAAAAAAAATATATTTTATTGATTTTTTACAGAGAGAAAGAGAGAAGGATAGAGAGTTAGAAACATCGATGAGAGAGAATCATCGATCAGCTGCCTCTTGTACATCCCCTACTGGGGATGTGCCCGCAACTAAGGTATATGCCCTTGACTGGAATCAAACCCGGAACCTTTCAGTCCACAGGCTGATGCTCTATCCACTGAGCCAAACTGGTTTTGGCTCTGTTAGCACCTTGATCTTAGACTTCCAACCTCCAGATCTGTGAGAAATAAATGTTTGTTCTTTAAACCATCCAGTCTATTGTATTCTACAATTTACATTCTTTTATATACCTGGATATTTGATGTAGTATCCTTAAAAGTTGCAAGCCTTGGTACAGTTTAATCTCACAACTAATGTGAAAGAGAACCCATCAGATTCAAAGGAGAGAAGATGCATTTGTTGTCCCCAGTAATAAATGAGTAATCATTTATTGATTACTTGTTTTAAACAATTTCTGTGGTCTGACCACCAGTTGGTCTAGAACACCCAGAGAACTTCACTGCATTGCCTATGCCACCCACCTCCACTGGAGATATGTGAAATTCACCAAGTTATTAATAAGATCATTCAGAAATCCATTGACTTGGGAGCACAGAACAAGCTTATGATATTGATAAAAATACAATGTTATTTCATCACCAAGTAAATTCAGTATAAAAAGCATCTGTGACTTTTGGTGTAGTGTGATCTATTAATTTCTACTGGATTCCAAGCCCCTCTTCTTTTCTCACATGCTCCCTCTTCCTCAAACTCTTATTTATTCTTTAGTTCTTCCTTTAAGAAAGCCATCCTCACCCTAGATGGTTTGGCTCAGTGGATAGAGCCTGAGGACTGAAGGTTCTTGGGTTTGATTCCATCAAGGCACATGCCTGGGTTGTGGGCTTGATTCCCAGTGAGAGGCATTCAGGAGGCAGCTGATAAATGATTCTCTCTCCTTACTGATGCTTCTATCTCTCTCTCCCTCTCCCTTCCTTTCTGAAATCAATTAAAAAATATATGTTAAAAAAAGAAAGCCATCCTCAAACCTTAAACTAGGATAAGACCCTAGTATGTGCTTCACAGGCATCATTATTTTTTCACTACACTTTTAATAATAATAATAATAATAATAATAATAATAATAATTTGCTCTATAATTGATAATCATCTATAATTTGCTTTACTATTGCTCCTCTAGATTAGAAATTCTGTAAAACCAGGAATGTCCATTTTGTTTACCAGTATTATCCCAGTGCTTAAAATATAGGAAATCCTCATATATTTTTTGACAAACCAAGAAAAAAAATTTAATAAAATAAAAATCTAAAAACTAGAAATAAGATATGAGCATATTGAATTTAGCAATATATTAAAAACCATACATGATGTTTAAGTAGGACTTATTTTAGAAAATAAATGTATTTTAGCATTTGAAAGTATATTATACAAGTATTACATTAATATATCAAAGGAGATAAGTTATCTACATAGACAGGAAAGAAATTAGATGAAATTTCACATGCCTCCCAATTTTAAAAATACATCTTAGTAAACTAGAAAAAGGATGCTTTAACATAAAAGATACTTGAAACTAACATTATACCTAACAATGTAATTCTGGAGACAGGCTATCCTTTACCAACACTGGCATGCAAATTTATTTTAAAAACATTAGCCAATGCAATAAGGTGGAGGGAAAAAAAATCAGAAAATGATGCACTTAAATGTAGATTATGATTTTCTAGCTGAAAAACACAAGATCATTAACTGGAAATGTTTAGTATGCAGATTTAGTAAGGTGGCCAGTTACAAAATACATGAACACATATTATAAAAGCAATATATTCAAAACAATGCAGGACTGGCTTAAGAATAGACAGATCAATGGAATAGATTAGAAAGGGTAAAAAAGGCCTTAAAATTATTCCATATAAAAAATGATTATGAAATTGACCTTTGGAGAAGTCTTTAATTAATTATATTGGGATATTAAGGGCAAATAGATTCTAATATGAAGCCATGAGTTTAAATATTTCATTTTATACCTTTTTTTTAAGGGGAGATAGTGACTGTTTTCTATAGTTGCTATTTGCCCAAACACCACACCCTACGGCCGCGGGCAGGCCTTACCGGCATGGTGATTTGGATGGGCTGTCGTTCTCCACTCTTGGTTGGGGCTACTCCTTCTGTATCATAGGTGCCCATGTAAACAATCCTTTCCCCGTCAGGCTCTTTCGACTTCAGCTCCAGTGGGACAACCACACCACCAATGGAAATGTTCCTGCAATGGACTTGAGTTGAGCACACGTGGTAGGAATTAGCTTAGGTGCCCTTTCTTATCTTGACCACAACCCTAGGCAGGAAACCTACAGGGTGTAGCTAAAAACGACATTACGGTATGGTAGAAAGTTCTGAAAATTCAAGAGGCTTGAGTTCTCCAACTCACCAGTCACGTAATCTTAGACCAACCACATAATCTCCCTGGATGGACAGTATTCTCATCTAGGATACTAGTACAAGGCCTAGTTAGACTTTAGCAGCAGTCGTCCTCTTTAGTGTCTCTTTTGTGGGGCTATTAAAAACCTACCTATACCCAGCCCCATCCCAAACCCCAGAGAAGAATTCAATTGGTCTGGTTTGGGTACTGGTAAATTTATTTTAAGACTCACTAGGTGGTTCTAATGGGTAGGTAAGGTTGAGAACCACTAAACTAGTTCTCTCATGATTTTTCTGTTCCACCAATCAAGGATCCCATGAGTTGGGGTACTCTTCCTCATGCAGCTACAACACTAGACATTCTCACCGGCATCATTATTTTGTTAGGGTAATGGCCCTCAAATAGTCCTGAGCTACCAATATCAGATCCCTTGACAACCTATTAAAAAGCAAATTCTTAAGCCCCACTGTAGGGTGGGACTCAGCCTTCCGTGTTTTAACAAGACCTCTAGGCGATTCTGACGTACACTCAAGTTCAAGAACCCCTGGGTTAGGACGTTGAAATCCCCTTGATAAAATTAAGTTTTAACTAGAAAAAAGTCGTTTTGTCATGAACACAGACTCACTTGTAGATTAGCTTGAAAAATAGAGAACTACCCTCAAGAAAATGGCGTAGAGAACAGATAACTTGAGAGAAGGGGTTCCTTGGAAAGAGGGGAAAGAAAATGTGTCTGGATCTCATGGAGATTCAGTGATAACACTGGGAAATGTGAGGACAATGGATCCATGAAGCCAAGGGGGGGAGGGAAGAGCTGCTGACAAAAAGATGGGCCAGGAGCACCAGAAAAAAACGAGGTTTTAGGTCCTTGAATTAGGACCTGCCACCTGAAAGCCAACACGAGGATAGTGAATTAATGACTGCAGATGGACACTTACTCTGAAGAGGTCTCTGGTGGATTCAAGCACATATACCCGCCCCCCCCCCCCCCAACTCAGTATATGGTAGATGATATAAATACTGGCTATTTCTTCCTTCCCCACTGGACTTCCCATCAGGTTTAGGTGGAGGCTAAAAGGTAAGGGACCCCACCCCTGGATGCTTCCCCATAATCTATGAACCCTCCCAGCCAGGGGCCTACTGGGTGCCGCAGCTGGGGTGGCAGGGAAGAGATAATCCTGCCACGAGTAAACGGAAAAAAATAACCCCACAAAACCACATTTTTTTTTTTTTTTTTTTTTTTTTTTTGTGGTTGCTAATCCCAGGCGCCATCACCAGGCAGAACAGAAAACAGGAGAAACAGACAGACACCCGGCTCGGGAAACCGGGGCACATTAGGCCAAGCAGAGGAAGGAGGCCGCGCGCTGCCTGCGGCTGCTCCTCCAGCCCGGCGTCCACAGCCGCGGGGGGACAGATGGCGGAGTGGGGAGCGACCAGAGCCACCCTGCCGCCGCCTTCACGCTCCACTCCTCCGCCTACAGCTCGGGGGCGGGCCGGGGCGGGACGCCGGGACGCGGGAGGGAGAGGAGGACCGGGATTGCGGAAGGTGAACCCCGCGGCGAGCTGCACCCTCTGCACCTCTCGGGCCGCCTGGGGGTCCGCGCGGAGGCTGGACCGGGGGGGGGGGGAGGGGAGGGAATGAGACATTTACAGGTCAACCAACCAACCAACCAACAAACAAACAAAGCCAACCCCGAACCCCTGGCTTCCTGTCGCTGTTTTCAACAACCCACCCCGCGATGGGTGGAGGGAAGCCAGAATAGAGGAAAGGCTACGGGAAGGCAGAGAGGGGACCAATGGAACAGGGACTTCTGCGGGCCCCCCCCCCCCAACCCCCCAACCCCAGCTCCGGGTCCCCCTGGGTGCGGCGCGAGCCCGAGGGGCCCGGGAGGCTCCGGCGTCCCGGGGCCTCTGTCCTCCGCGCGTACCCCAAGGGGGGGGGGGGCCGGGGAACGGGCATCCTGGGCGCGCTCCCGCACTCACTCGACCTGCAGCGTGCTGGGCTTGATCTTCACCTCCACCTTGTAGGAGGAGCCGGTGAGCAGCTTGATGGTGCGGTTCTGGCCGAAGCGCTGCCCGTCCACCTTGTAGAAGACCGGGCCGTCGTTGGGCTGGATGCGCAGCGCGATGGAGAGGCGCACCAGGCCGGGCAGGTCCCCCATGGCTGGGCGCGGGGCGGCGGGGGGCGGCGGAGAGCGGAGGAGAGCGCGGGCGGTGACCCGGCGGCTGGAGGGCGGTGGGCGGAGAGGAAGCGCGAGTAGGGGGAGGAGGAGGAGGAGGCGGGGGGAAGGCTGCCGTTAGGAGCCCACGCCGCCGTCGCAGCAGCAGTCCGCAGGGGCTCTGGAGCTGCTCCCGAGGCTGTGGCCTCCCGCCCCACGGGGAGGGGAAGCGCACCTCGGGGACCGCGGCGAGGCCCCGAGTCTCCCCATGCCCCTCGCTCCAGCCTGCAGGCTACGGGTGGAGATCAGCGTGGGCGGAAGAGAGAGAGTTAATCCTGTTTACGCACCACAATCCCCTGCAGCTAGGGGAGAGGAGGATGTCTAGGCTCCTCCTAGGGCTGCGCGGTTTGGGTCGATGGAGGGGATTGGGAGGAAGGGGTGACATCCAGAAGTGACACCTCAGACTGTGGGTGCCTGCCTCCTCGGCCAGCAAAAGGGATGTGCACACCATTGATGGGGTCCCGGTGAGGCAAGGGAAGGCTGAGAGGCGAAAGGGAGACTGGGAGCGAGCAAGGACAGGGAACCGCTAGCCAGTGATTTAAGTGCCAGGAAATAGGAGTCTCTCCGAAGCGGAGGGGAAATGGCCGAGGAAAGGCGCAGTTCCTTCTCCTGTGGACTGCCAGCTGCACTGGATTCGGAATGTGCGTGAGAAAAGGGGGAAAGATGGAGAGAAAGAAAATAAGCCATGCTCAAGGAGGTACACCTTCTGGCGGTGTATGTTTGAATTGTGCATATCCTTGTCTCAAGAATGACACGGTAATGAATCACACACACATATTTATAGTTCTGGATGGGTGAGCTATTAACCCTGTCAAAGGCAACTGGCAGGCATATCTGGAAGGCATAGTTGGTTGACTATGTCCAGGAGGAATCCTCCATCAAAGATTATTGGCAGAGCACTTGGCCGGACACATCTTCATATGAAGTATGATTACAGAGACTTCCAGGCAGAAGTCAGTTGACAGATCCTGATTTTGGGAGCAAGCAGAGACCTGGGGATTAGGGCTGGATGGAGAATGGTTTCAGAGAGCGCAGAGCAAGCTTCTGCTTCAGCACCACCCAGGTGGATAGTACCAGGCCCGGTGAGCACACCTGGGTGGTGGCGAAGCGGTTAGTGAGGACTAGAGGTAGGAAGTAGTAGTAAAACTACTAGTGTTTGGTAGTATTTGTTCACCCGGGCTTGTACCACTTTTCTTTAGAAGTAGCATCATCTCGAAAGTGATTTCTTTCTTTCTTTATTCTACAAAAATAAATCAGTTTTAACTACTCTCATTCCAGAGTTGTTTGCATTATTCCCTACATTATTCTGAATAGGGTTATACTGTGTAGAGCTGCAGAGTTTTGTATGATTGCTTCCCTGACACTGGATAGATTTGCTGATCGCACCATAGTTGCTTATGGTGTGATTGTTTTTTTGGTTTCTCAATAAGATTCTGCCTCTTCAGATCACCAAATAATGTCTATCATAGTGTCTTCTCCACAGGGAACCTTCAAGTATTTGCTAATTTAATCAGCTTGTTTCCACTTGAAGGGAGGGATCCAGACTGGATGGAATGGATTGAAAGTGTTCCTGGCAGCGGAAGCAGTCTGTGTAGTTGTTCAACCCAGAAGCACTACAATCAGACTTGTTAAAAATCCACACTCTACCTCTTCCTCTGTTGTGTGACCTGGGTTCCATAATTTCTGGGAAACAATTTTCTCACCTGTAAAGTGGGCTGGGGAAGCAGATGCTAGCTCTCTGATAGAGTTGTGTTAAAGAACAAATGAGAGATGCACAGTTCAGTACCTGGCTCCAATATTAGCGATCATTATTAATTTGAAACCCAACGAGCAGTAGACATAGGTAAGGATGCTCAGTCATTCCTAGGAGAAGAACTAGAGGGATGAAAATTAAATCAGTAACATCAAAACTATTTTGGCCTATCAGCTTGGCAATTTTTTTCACTATATTTGTAATTAGTTTTATTATAAAGGATTCCAATTAGGAGGACCAGCAGAATGAAGACACACAGAGGGCGAGGTCTGAGAGGAAACACAGAGTTGGCAAACACTGTAAATACTAAACTTCAGTGCTGGCAAGATGTAGCAAAGTCAGTCCTGTTATACATTGGAGAAAAATATAACTGCTATAACCTTTAAAATATGTATGTATATATATATATATATATATATATATATATATATATATATATATATATATATATATATAATCAATGTTTTACAGAGAGGCAGGGAGAGGGAATTAGAAACATTGATGAGAGAAACATCAATTAGCTGCCTCCTGCACACTCCCTATTGGGTATGTGCCTGCAACCAAGGTACATGCCCTTGACTGGAATCGAACCTGGGATCCTTGAGTATGGAGACCAATGCTCTATCCACTGAGCCAAACCGGTTAGGGCTTCTATAACCTTTTACTAGAAGTAATCTGAGGAATTTATTGAAAGCTTAAGATTATACATATATATCCCTTGAGACAACAATCCTACTTTTTAAAACCTACCCTTCAGAAGAAATAAAGGCATCATCACCCTGAATATGTGTAATATGGGTACTTATTGCAACATGGATGACAAAAATGAAAACAAAGAATAAACTGAATGTCAAAAATAAACGGCTAAGTTTTTACATGCCCATACTATACAATTTATGTGACTTCCTAAAATAATAAATCACATGTTATATTGGCAAACACATATGCTAACACTGTTACTACACTGTGGTAAACTGGGAAAGTCCAAGGGCAGGCATTTTTGTCTGTTTTGTTCATTGCCATATCCCCAGTCCAGTACACGGTAGTGCTCCATAAATATTTGTTGAATTGTGTGGGAAGCCACCGCTTTCCCAATACTGTCGTGATAGGAGTGCACCAAGGAATGCAGAAGGCCGGTGGACCTTGGACTTAGCAGGGCTGTGCTGAGATAGTGGTGGCTCGAAGCAATTACCTCCTGACCTGATAGCCTCAAAGTAAATGTTTACTCATCTTTACTGATCTTTATTGACCTTTGAGACGGTCTGTCTGCTATCTGTTTGTCTTGCTTTACTGAGGGCAAGATGTGTATCTAAAACTGAATAAAAAGCAGACCAGCCAGAATCTCGGTGTGTGCTCTTCACGAAAGAGACATCCCTAGCCCCCAATGCCTTCTAAATTCACATTTCTTGTACAGCCTTTTCATTTGTGCACCCGCCCCTTCTTCAGATCCTGAACCTTGGCCATATAGGTTGCTGGAAAATTGAATTCCTATCTTTGTTGTAAATATGTTCATATGGAAATTCTTTTATGTCTTGAAAAGTAATTAGTTAGATCTATATGATTTATCTGGAATAATGTAAAGAGAAAAATCTAATTGTAGATAATATCTGTAGTATGATGATATTTTAAAACACTTAAAAATTTAAAACCATATTAATTTGTACATATTTTTATTAATTTGAAAAAGCATTAGACATACACAGCAATGGGGATGTTGAATGGGGATGGAAAGATAATTACTTTAGTTTTTCAGAATTACTTTAGTTGTTTTTTTTTTTAAATTTAATTTTTTTTCTCTCACTTTTTGTTCAGCAGTCCCTAAAGTCTCAAACCAACTTCTACCTGTGTATTGATGAAAGTTTTGGACGAGGAGTGAGATGACTTCAGTTTGAATTCTGACTCAGGTATTAATTGTTTTCTTTATGCAAAGCACTTGAAATGTTTGTATTTCAATTTTTATTGATGTAGAATGGGAATTAAAATGCTTCCTTCTCAATGTAGTGAGAATTAAATGAAGAAATTAAAAAATGTTTTTAAAAAATTGCTTTTCAAATATGAGATGTTACACATCTCATATCATAGGCAACACACATTATTAAAAACATATTCAGAACCATAAAATGCAACTTCTTAAAACGAAATTAATAAATGTAAAAGTAACTGAAAAATTTCTCATCATTGGTACAAATATGCAACAAATCTGGGTATGAAGCTGAATGGACCTATATTTACATCCCAGTTCTGCTGAGTACAAGCCAGGTGACCTTGAGCAAGATAAGCTATGTAGTCTCTCCAGGATCCAGTGTTTTCATTAGTACAATGATGATGGGAACATATATAATGCTCATAGAACCAAATGAGATAACATAAAACTCAAGAGTAGTAGTCACATATAAGCTCAATACATTGTAGCTATTTCTGTTCACTTGAAGTATACTTACTATATTTTTAAGGTATCTAGTGTTATTAGCTCAAATTGATGGCCTTAAACACTGTCTGTCAACAGGGCAACCATTATTATCATTCTTTTGGAAATTAGGAAGTAGGCTAATAACATTCCATGTTCACTGTTCCAGTCTCTATGGTAAATTCATATTATAGACTTTGAAAAGTTATAAGTATTATGATATGGGACATTTTGTGTGTGTGTGTGTGTGTGTGTGTGTGTGTGTGTGTGTGTGTATACATACAGGAGTGGGCAAAAGTAGGTTAAATACCAGCCATTATTACCTAAAAGTTAAATCATAAGTAAGGATAGAAAATAATATAAATAAATAATACTATAACTAATAAATACATAATAATATGAGTAAATTCCTGTGTATTCACAACTGTAAACCCATTTTTGCCCACCCTTGTATATGTAAAAATCCAAACCCAGCACATTTTATTCTCTTTTTCATTCCTTCTGTCCCCTAGGAGTACACTTTTGGATAGGAATTTTTAATGATCGCTTAAAGTTTATTTTACATTTAGAGTTCTTCAATCAAGTAAGAAACAAATCGAGTAAAGGAAGATAGAGCGCCTGGGTGTTTCTCACATCCTGGCTCCCACCTCTCTCTCCATCCATCATGCACATATGTGCCCGCATGCTCAGATGCCTCAAATATCCTCAAACTTAAACAGAATATACAGTCTCAATCCTTCTCTAAATGTATTTAAAGTATTGGTGGACATTATGAAATTCTCAGGCTCTGAAATCACAAAATACAATGAGACAATTTCCTGCTAATGCCAACTGGTTTGGCACCAAGCTTGTCAGGATCATAAAATTGGCTCCATTATTTTTTTTCTTCTCCTTCCTTATGCTTTACAAAATGTACTCTTAAGTAATCACAGGACCTGTAACACAGATGAGTAAGAAGCCATAAACAGTGGAATAAATTGTGCATTATAAAGGAAATGAAGTGACTGATTGAAAATCAAAGCACAGTTCTCCAAAATGAAACTGTCACTTAAAGCACAACATACTGTCCGAAAACATGCTGAAAATTGTACATGAGGAGAGATGGAGAGTTAACAGTTAACAAGGTAGGAAGCAGTAACTAGACTTTTATTTATTTATTTCCTTGAGATGGAAAGATGCTATTAAGGCTCTAGATTCTGAAAATCTGACCAGTGCTTTATGGAAAATGATGTGCAGGGAATTTCCCCACTCACTTTTTTTTTTTTTTTTTTTTTTTAACTAGTTCCATAAATGACCCATAGTTATTCCGAATGCTGGAGTTGTGTCTGAGTATACAGCAAGGTTCATGGACGGGCACTCAAACAAAGGACTGGGTTTGAGCTAAAAAAGAGGGGTCTTGAGAGCTGCAATATATGTAGAGTGGCTGGTATTAGGAACTCAGTCTAACATAGGTGCTGTATTCCTTATCTATGGATGCATAAAAAATTATAACTTAGCAGCTGAAAACAAGGTGCATGTATTATCTTACAATTTCTGGGGCGTCAGGAGCACAGGAGAGTTTCGTTGGATGATTTTGGTGCAAAGTTTCAACCATTCAAGCTGTAGCCAAGGACACAGTGTCCTGAAGATTTGATGGGAGTGGAGGGTCTGCTTCCAAGCTCACTCACATGGGTGTTGCCAGGAAGCCTCAGTTCCTTTCTGACTGTGGGCTGGAGGCTTCAGTTCCTCACCCTTTGGGCCTCACCACATAGCATGGCAGAGATCCAAGACAGAAACTGCAGTCTTTATAACCTTACCAGAGGCCGGGTGCACAGAATACGTGCACTGGTGGGACATGTGGCCTTCAGGGATCAGCCTGTTGTGGGGACACCACTCATCCCAGTCAGCCAAGCGGCTGCACACCTGCTCATCCCAGTCAGCTGAGTGGCTGTGGACCTGCCCCCTGAGCAGCTGCTCCCAATGTGGGAGTGGCATTCATCCCAGTCAGCTGTGGCGCTCCCACTTTGGGAGTGCGCTGACCACCACGGGGCAGCTCCTGCATTGAGTTGCATCATAGTGACTGGTCAACTGGTCATCTCGTCATTCCACCATTCGGTTGCTGGGCTTTTATTATATAGGATCTTGAAAGTGACATGCCATCACCATTACCATATGCTATTGTGATAAGGGAGGGAACTTCACCAGGGGTGACTACAGGAGGTGGATATCACTGGGGGCCAACTGGAAGGCTAGGTACCTCAAGTAGAAAAACATTTGTTAATAAGGTGGTTCTCCCTAGGAAATGTCAGGTGGATCGGAAATCTTCCTTGTTAGGAAGCCTCAAAGCATAGATATATTTTTGTTTGAATAAATAGAATTTTTTTTTTAGTGGTCACTGCACCACAAATACTTAAAACTGGGTCAACAAAACATAGCCCTTGGGCCTAATTTGATTCTGCCTATTTTTTTTGTATGTTTCATGAACTAAGAATGTTTTTATATATTTAAATGATTGGAAAACTAGGAAGAATCATTATATTTAATGACAGGTGAAAATTACATAATTCATATTTCAGTGTGTCCCTAGATAAAGTTTTATTGGAACACAGCTATACTCATTTGTTGAGATCTTGCCCAGGGCTGCTCTCGTAGTAAAACAGCAGAGTTGAGAAATTACAACAGAGACTGTTTGGCCTACAACCTAAAATATTTATTATTTGGACCTTTACTTTAAAAGTTTGCCAATCCCTGACTTACAGGGACATTTTAAATAAATTTAAAATAAGATCCTTGGAACTAATAAATTATAAAAGGATATGAAGAATTTTTTTACTGATAATAGAGTATGTCATAAGGATTAATATTTGTGTAAATATAAATTAACATTTATGTAATGAAATAATGACACCGGACAACCAATCGGTCCGTGCTACCTGTCACTGCTTGGGCCAATTCAGCGGAGACAGGGTTGAATCATATATTATTCCAATAATGCTGGCAGTATGGGAGCGCAGCAGGTCACCCATAAAAATCTGCTCTGCACCCATCCCATCATAAGCCAGCTGCTTATATTGGGTAGAAGGGCAAAGATTATGTGAGGAAGCAGGAATTACAGGCATGAGAAAGTAGGCACGGGACAATCATTACAGGGTATGCCATGTGGGCTGGCGGTGGCAGGAGGGTGGGCACCTCCTGGCACCCTGGGACCAGATTACCAGCCATAGGGACAGGTGCCTCCAGGACTAGATTGTTTCGGGCACGAGGTTGTAAATCTTTCCATAATGATAGGCAGTTCTCGAGACAGGAGGATGAACTGCATTCTGATGTTAGCTCCCATGTCCTACAACTCCCAGGGCCTACAACTCCCAGCCAGGAGAAAATGTGCTTTCTAATCAGAACAGAACCATTGTGACTAACAGAGCATGATTAATATCTCTTATAATTTATAATTACTTTTCAATATTTCATTTCTGTTCCTAACAATTCCTTTGCTGGGGCTGAGGGCCACCAAGGTTCCTGTGCATCCTGAGGACTGGGCATTCTATTTACATTACAGGAGCTCACCAGTACCCTTCTAACCACTACATTTTATTACTTAAGTAAGTGAAGGGTAACAGAATTTGCCATCTCTAAATATGCCACTTTGGCATAAGGCAATGAATTTAAAATGCATGTAAGAAAAAGAAAAAAATGGAGGGGGGCCAATGGTATATATACAGAGATAATAATTTAATAAAAATAATAAAGGAAGGAAGGAAGGAAGGAAGGAAGGAAGGAAGAAAGAAAGGAAGGAAGAAAGAAAAAAAGAAAAAAATGTCTTCCCTTATGCAAGTCAGAATCAGAGCACTTTGGCAACTAAATACTACTAATAAAGTTGATGTGGAGTGGGAATGGTATAATCAGAGAATGTACACTATGGTTTTAAAAGTAACATTTGCCTTTTCCCCCTTTGTTTTTCTTGTTTATATTTCATAAAATGAATAATGAATATGTATTACTTTTAGGATATGAAATGAAAAGATAATCTAGCTATCTTTTATTTTTAAAAATATATATTTTATTGATTTTTTATAGAGAGGAAGAGAGAGGGATAGAGAATTAGAAATATTGATAAGAGAGAATCATCGATCAGCTGCCTCTTGCACACCCCCTACCACAACCAAGATACATGTCCTTGACTGGAATCAAATCTTGGACCCTTCAGTCTGCAGGCTGATGCTCTATCCACTGAGCCAAACTGGTTCGGGTAATAATCTAGCTATTTTTACAAACAGGATCAGAGACAAAAATGAGACCTGGCACCCTGGATGCACTGGTTACAACTGAGCTTACTCAGTTTAGATCTGACTTTTGGGAGGAGTTAAGGGAAAAAAGTTGAGACATTATTTAGTCTGATAAAAAATAAGCAAACATATTTTTCTAAAGAGACAAGATTTTTTTCCCCTGGCACTGAATTTAAGGAGAAATTTTGTATGTCTGTGGGTTTTTGTTTAAGGTACATGGAGTAATTTAATAAATATCTTAAAATGTGGTTTTGTGAAAGACAGATTGTTCTTCAAATGAATTTTTATATTAGTACACTGTGAAAACTAAGAGACTTGCATTCCATCTTAACTACATGAAGATTTCTGTAAGAGATCAAAATAACAATATCATGTATTATAAATTCCATTCTCTAGGTATTACCTAATATAGGTAATAGATTCTAGCTCTCACTCTCACCTACCTCGGAGCCAAATTCAGAATTTCATCCTGAAAGGATTCAATGTCAAAAATCCTTGAGGGAGGGATGAAGATCTTCAGACCCTCCAGAGCAAGGATGAGGGGCCAGGTACGGGACAGAAAGCTCCAGATGCCTAGCAAGGGGCAAACTGGGAAAACAAGAACCCCACCCCCAGGGTAGCCTATCCTCCCCATTTCATACCACTAGTCAGGCAGCTTGGAACCCAATCTTCCAATCTTCCAAAGTAGATCCAAATCCACTCTTTTTTTTTTTTTTTACACTAGGCAGACATATTTGTGTTTAGTTTGTTATTCACATTTCTCACCAAACAGCAGAAACTTAATCAAACTCATCCATTGGAGTTTGTTCCTCTTTCCAGTTACCTATTTCTCTTTCCAAATTGCTACAAATCCTCTCTGCGGTCCAGGTTTAGTTTCTGTTCTCAACTGAGGATAGCCTACCTCTTGTCTACATTATTTAAAAACAACAACCAACCACCACCACCACCACCACCAACAAAACCAATAAACAAAAGCCTGGTTTAATCAGTGGAGTAATTTCCATTTATTGTTCTCAAGCAAGACTATAATGCCTTACCAACCTACTGAAACATGACTTCTGCTTTTGGCGTGACAGTAGACCACATACTCTCCTCTTACAAAACAACTAGAACCTACATAAAACACAACTTTTATTATATTGCTTATATATCACAGCAAATAGAGAACCTTCCAAAGGAGAAAATAAAAAACCCAAAGAACCTCGAGTGCCTCTGAGAAGGCAGAGTTGAACAGGAAGCAGATGAAATTGCAGTCGAAAACCATGTAGATAAGAAGAGAATGAGAGTCCATATAATTAATAAACTACAACTTAGACCACCAAGAACTTTGGAAATGTAAAATAGCTATGGATAAAACGTTTAAAGAAACAAAAGGCGAATGTTAGGTCTGTTCAAATCATTGAATCAATACCCCTTCCCTGGAACTGACCTTTAGGCCACTTCACAACCAACATTCCCTTTCCTTCAGACCACAGTCCACCTGCTAAGACCACATTCCTCTTGCTAAGACCATAATCCTTCCCCTCCAGACCTTCCCAGGATCTGGACCCTCCCAGAGAATTCTCTACCCAGAAAAGGTCTTTAAAATCTCTGACTCCCTTGCCGAAACCGGTTTGGCTCAGTGGATAGAGCTTCAATCTGCGGACTGAAAGGTCCCAGGTTCGATTCCGGTCAAGGGCATGTACATTGGTTGTGGGCACATCCCCAGTAGGGGTGTGCAAGAGGCAGCTGGTTGACGTTTCTCTCTCATCGACATTTCTAGCTTTCTATCCCTCTCCCTTCCTTTCTGTGAAAAATCAATTATATCTATCTATTGGGTCGGCAAATATGTAATTGCGGATTTTTTTAAGAAAATCAAAGACAATTTTTTCATGGAACTAAATAACTTTATTCTGTAATGTATTGCCCATTTTGATCAATGACCTTTTGCCATCTTTCAGGCAGCATCATAATCCCACGTTCAAAAAACTTCTGGTTTTTATTAGCAAAAAACTGAATCAGGTACGATTTTACATCATCATCATTATTGAAATTTTTACCATTCAAGGAGTTTTGTAAAGATCGAAACAAAAAGTAATCAGATGGTGCAAGGTCAGGACTATATGGTGGATGTGGCAAAACATCCCAACCAAGCTCCATTAATTTTTGCCGAGTGACCAAAGATGTGTGTGGCCTTGCATTGTCATGATGGAATACAACACCTTTTCGATTTGTCAATTCGGGCCGCTTTTCTTCAACTGCATCATTTAATTTCGTTAGTTGTTCAATGTAGACATCAGAATTGATCGTTCGGTTGGGTGGTAAGAGTTCAAAGTAGACAATTCCTTTGTAATCCCACCAAACTGATAACAAAACCTTCTTTTGATGAATATCAGCTTTTGATGTTGTTTGAGTTGGTTCACCTGGCCTGCTCCACGATCTTTTCCACTTGATATTGTTGTAAACAACCCATTTTTCATCGCCAGTTATCAGTCGTTTTAAAAATGGATCATTTTCATTATGTTTCTTTAGCAAATCGCAGCTGCTAATGCGTTGCGTTAACTGTGATTCTTTCAGTTCGTGAGGAACCCATGTATCGAGTTTTTGAACATAGCCAAGTTGTTTTAAGTGATTTTCAATGCATGTATGTGATACATGAAGCTTCTCTGCAATCTCACGTGTTGTACTGTGACAGTCCGAATTGATTATTGCTTTGATTAGGGCGTCATCAACTTCAACTGGACGACCAGAGCGTTTTTCATCTTTGAGTGAAAAATCACCAGAACGAAATTTGGCAAACCAATTTTGACACTGCCGTTCTTTTAAGGCTTCGTCACCATAAACAGCACATAACTTTTTATGAGCTTGCGATGCGTTTTTCCCTTTGCGGAAATAAAAAAGCAAAATATGACGAAAATGTTCCTTTTGATTTTCCATTTTTCAACGAACGCCAAACGAAAACTACAAAACAGATCAAAAAACTTTTTTTTACTGATTAACAGCTGAATAGCCAACTATCAAATAACAAAATGTGTTTTACATTTGTACTACGTCTGCAAACCTAAAAATTCAACTGAAGCCATATATGTGTGAAACCCGCAATTACTTACTTGCCGACCCAATATCTATCTATCTATCTATCTATCTATCTATCTATCTATCTATCTATATATATAGTATCATTAACTGTTTAAAAATTTTAAAAAAAATAAATAAAATCTCTGACTCCCTTTCCCTGGGTGTTGATGCCATTTTGGGTCTGAGCACATCTGTTTTTCCAGATGACCTAATACATTTACAATTCTTTTTTTCTTTTTTTAAAATATATTTTATTGATTTTCCACAGAGAGGAAGAGAGAGGGATAGAGAACCAGAAATGTCGATGAGAGAGAAACATTGACCAGCTGCCTCCTGCACACCCACTACCAGGAATGTGCCCGCAACCAATGTACATGCCCTTGACCGGAATCGAACCTGGGACCTTTCAGTCCTCAGACTGATGTTCTATCCACTGAGCAAAACCAGTTTCTGCACATTTACAATTCTTTACCCCTTTTGGCTTTGTGCATTCCTCCTTAGGTGACCCTGACATTTGGTGCTGAAAACAGCCCTATTTATATTCAGGAAATACCACCCTAAACACCACCACAACCTCCTTTTGCGCCCAGGCCTCAACAAGCAAGGATTTGGGCTCTGAAGGAAAATATTGTCCCCTTTTAGCAGGAAGCAGCTAAGAGACCCTGTGCCCCCTTTTCTCTAAAAGGATCCAGTGCCAAAAATCCTTGAGGGAGGGATGAAGACCTTGAGACCCCCAGAGCAAGAATGAGGGGCCAGGTACAGGTATAGAAGCTCACTGGGACAGAAAACTCCAGATGCCTAGCAAGAGGCAAACTGGGAAAACAAGAACCTTGCCCCCAGGGTGACCTTCCCCCACTAGTCAGGCAGATTGAACCTCTGATCTTTTCCTTCTTAAAGCTAACATCTAGGTCTTAATTGTATTTCAGCTCCAGGCCCAGAAAAGCAGCAAAACCAGAGAAGTGACACTGTAGCAGCCTCAGGACCAGCTTTTATCTCCTAAGTTCCTCAATACGACTGACTCTTTCGAGCCTTCACCAACTAGTCTCTTGGGGACATCATGATGCTGTGACCCCTCCCTCCAACCATGAGGAATCTGTACAGTGTTCCAGCTGACTACGAAGTCCATCCCCTATGATCCCCAGGAAGTAACTACAGGAAATATGTATGACTTCTGTTCCTATTCCATAAAACACAAAGGCTGGAATGTTAATTCTGATCAAATAATTGAATTGATACCCCCTTCCCCAGGGAACTGACCTATAGATTACTTCACAATTGACATTCCCTTTCGCTTGTTTCCATTTGCTAAGATCACATTCCTCTTTTTTTTTTCTTTTCTTTCTACATATATTTTTATTGATTTCAGAGAGGAAGGGAGAGGGAGAAAAGATAGAAACATCAATGATGTGGGAGAATCATTTATAAGCTGCCTCCTGCACACACCACACTGGGATTGAGCCCAAAACTAGGGCATGTGCTCTTGACCAAAATTGAACCTGGGACCCTTCAGTCCAAAGGCTGACACTCTGTCCGCTGAGCCAAACCAGCTAGGGCTCACATTCCTCTTGGTAAGACCATTATCTTTCCCCTCCAGGTCCTCCCAGAGAATTCTCCATCCAGAAACAGCCTGCCTAGAGTCCTTTAAAATCTCTGACTCCCTGTCTCTGGGTGCTGGTGCCATTTTGGGGCTCAGCCCATCTGGTTTTCCAGATGACCTAATAAATGTATAATCCTTTACCCGTTTTGGCCTCATCCATTCTTCCTTTGGCAACCCTAACAATGGAATCATAAAGATGAAATATGTCAAAAGAGACTATAAAATATACTCAGGTTGTAACTGGACAACCAAGGGGTCCGGGCTGCTTGTCACTACTTAAGCCAATTCAGCAGAGACATGGTTGAATCACATATGAACGTTTATTACATTAGTGCCTGCAGTATGGGAGAGCAGCAGGTCAGCCCAAAGGTCTGCTCTGCATCTCAGAAGCCAGCTGCTTATATTGGGTAGAAGGGCAAAGATTTGTGGGGAAGTAGGATTTACATTCAGGGGAAAGTGGGAACGGGATAATCATTATAGATTACAAATCTTGTGGGCTGAGGGGAGGGGGATCACAAAAAGTGGGCGCCTCAGCATCAGATTACAGGTAATAGGGGCTTCCAGGTGCTTCCAAGACTAGATTGTCTCAGCAACAAGGTTGTAAATCTTTCTATAATTGGCATTTCTTGGGACAGGAGGATGGACTGCATTCTGATGTTAGCTCCCATGTCCCAGGGCATACAACTCCCAGCCAAGCGAAAATGTGCTTTCTAATCAGAACAAAACATCATGGTTAACAGAGCATGATTAATATTACTTGTAATTATAATTAGTTTCCAATATCCTATTTCTGCCCCTCACAATATGAAAAAGAATGAAAAGCCCAATGAGATCAAATAGCAGCAATCTATTTCCAAAAAAGTATTATACTGGTAGATGTGGGGAAAGAATAAAATATCTGCCAGCAGTAGAACAAATATTAATTATTTATTTGATTTTGTTCAGACTTTTTGTTTAGTATTTTGTAACTGCTTAACACACACTTAAACTGTCCTATTGGGAAAGTGGGGCAGGAGGAAAGGTTCTTATAGAAGCTGAGGGAAATGTCAGAAAGGCAAAATCCAGCCGGCGCTATCCATTTGTTTTTGGGTTTACTGTCTGAATAGCATTTCCTTCCTTCCTTCCTTCCTTCCTTCCTTCCTTCCTTCCTTCCTTCCTTCCTTCCTTCCTTCTTTCTTCCTTCCTTCCTTTCCGTTTTTATTTTTTTATTTTATTTTTTTTAAATAAGTTTTTATTGTTCATATTATTACAAATGTTCCTTTCCCCCCACCACCACCATTGCTCTCCTCCACCAGGTTCCCACCCCACCCTCTGCCCTTTCCCCATTCCCCATTGTCCTCATCCATGGGTGCACAGTTTATGTTCAGTCTCTTCCCACGCCCCCCCTCTCCCCTTTTCCCCAAGAATCGTAAGTTCACTCCCCTTCCATACCTCTGATTCTATTATATTCAACAGTTACTATTGTTCATCAGATTTTTTTTTTAAATTTCCTTGGTTTTTAGATTCACTTGTTGATAGTTACATATTTGTTGTTCATAATTTTTATCTTTGTTTACTTTCTCTTCTGAAAGAACCCCCTTCAGCAATTCATATAATTCTGGTTTGGTGTTGATGAACTCCTTTAGCTTTTTTTTATTAGTGAAGTTCTTTATCTGACCTTCGATTCTGAGTGATAGCTTTGCTGGGTAGATTATCTTTGGCTGTAGGTTCTTACTATTCATCACCTTGAATATTTCTTGCCATTCCCTTCTGGCCTGCATGGTTTCTGTTGAGAAGTCAGCTGACAATTGTATGGGTGCTCCTTTATAGGTAACTACCTTCTTTGCTCTTGCTTCTTTTAATAGTCTCTCTTTGTCTTTTGCTCTTGGAATTTTAAGTATGATGTGTCTTGGTATAGTCCTCTTTGGATTCCTTTTGTTTGGAGTTCTGTGCGCTTCCTGGACTTGTAAGTCTAATTCTTTCACCAGGTGGGGGAAGTTTTCTGTCACTATTTCTTTCAGCATGTTTTTGATATCTTGCTCTCTCTCATCTTCTGGGACCCCCATAATTCTGATGTTGGTTCGCTTGAAGTTGTCCCAGAGGTTTCTTACATTATCTTCAATTTTCTGGATTCTCTTGCCTTCTAGCTTCTGTGGAGGAGTGTCTTCTGGCTCTTTATGTTCCAAATCTTTGACTTGATTCTTGTGATCTTCCCTTCTGTTTTTAGGACTCTGTAAAATATTTTTTATTTCAGACAATGTGTTCTTTATTTCTTGTTGATCCCTTATCATTTCTTGATGACTCCGTATTAATTCTAGTTGATCTCTTTTCATATCCTCATAGGTCTTATCCATCTTTTCTAGGAAATTTTTGAAAAACCTTATAAGCGTAGATTTGAACTCTATATCCAGACGCTTTTTGTCCTCCATTTCTTTCGTTTGTGATCTATTTTGTTGTCTCATTTCGCAGTTACAGATGGGACGGGGTTTCAGGGTGGAGCCTGCAGCTTTGGCTTCCATCAGCCCCGCCCTATGCAGGTCCTTCAGTGCTCGCTGCTGCTGGCGCCTCTGAGAGAAAGGTGCCCTCGATTTTTGCCTGCTGCCAAACAGTCTATGCTCTCCCCCAATGAGCTCGGTATTGAGGTTCAGTTCAGTTGGAAGTGGAATTGGAGGTGGCGTTCAGAGCAGTCTGGAGCCCCAGTCTCCTTCCCGTCAGGGCAATCCCGTGGCACAGCCGACCGTCCCTTCTCTGCGCGCAGTGGACCTCCTTTCGCTGCTCCCCGGGGTTCCGCCTTACAGCCCGGCTCCCTATGGCTGAGCCTGAGTCCCCGGGGTCTGGCCTAGAACTGGGGTTCAGAGCAGTCAGGGGTTCAGAGCAGTCGGGGGCCCAGCACAGTCGGAGTTTTATCTCCTTCCCGCTAGGGAACGCACGCCAGGCACTCCGCCTCCCCCTCCTCTCTGGCTCCGTCCTCTCCGCGCGCTGCGTCTCCGTACCTTGGGCTTTTCCCGCTCCTCCGCGCCTCCTTCTGGTTTTCTCCTTGCTTCTTGCTGTAGAATTTCCAGTCAGTCAACCTTCCTGTAGTTCTGGGCAATGTCCGTTTTATATTTTAGTTGTATTTTATTGAAATTGTTGTGTGCTGCTGCGGCTAGGTGTTCACCTGGGCGCAGCCATCTTGGATCCTCTTTCTGTTTTTAAAAAAATATCCTCACCTGAGGATATTTTCCCACTGATATTTTTAAAAATATATTTTATTGATTTTTTACAGAGAGGAAGGGAGAGAGAGATAGAGAGCCAGAAACATCGATGAGAGAGAAACATCGACCAGCTGCCTCCTGCACACCCCCCACTGGGGATGTGCCGGCAACCAACATACATGCCCTTGACCAGAATTGAACCTGGGACCTTTCAGTCCGCAGACCGATGCCCTATCCACTGAGCCAAACTGGTTTCGGCTTCCCATTGATTTTTAGGGAGAGTAAAAGAGTGAGAGAAAGACAGAGAGAAATATTGATGTGAGAGAAAGACATTGATTGGTTGCCTCTTGCACACACCATGACCAGGTACCAGGCAGGGAGGAGCCCACAACTGAGGTACATGCCCTTGACCAGAACCAAACCCGGGACCCCTGAGTCCACAGGCCCATCAAATAGCACTTTTTTTACATAAGCATCTGATCTCAGCTTTTTCATACTGAGAACAATTGAGATTTCAGTTTGAAGACAGCCTGCGGTCCTATGGGTAGCATACCCCAATCGCCCTCAAATAGGCAGAGGAATTCATCTCTCCATTTTAGATGGCTTGATGTTTGTAGATCTTAGAATGCTTGCCTTTAAGGACACTTTTACTTGGAAAATTACAACACTAGTACACAAGTCAAGCCTTAACATATTTAATATTTGCTTGTTTAAAGCAATGTCATAAGATTAAACATGTTTTTTGCCGAAACCGGTTTGGCTCAGTGGATAGAGCGTCAGCGTGCAGACTGAAAGGTCCCAGGTTCGATTCCGGTCAAGGGTTGTACCGTGGTTGTGGCACATCCTCAGTAGGGGGTGTGCAAGAGGCAGCTGATTGATGATTCTCTCTCATCGATGTTTCTAACTCTCTATCCCTCTTCTTTCCTCTCTGTAAAAAAATCAATAAAATATATTTTAAAAAAAGATTAAACATGTGTTGGTGTGTTTTTGTTTTTTTTTCCTCACAAGGACATAAAAATTATGGAAGGGGAACTTAACAGGAAATTTTAAAAGGTAGCAATTTTTTTCTTCTAGTAGACCTGGGGTGGTCATGGCAGATAGGTTCCACTTTTTGTTTGTTTCACTGAGCAGGGATTTTACTGCAAAGTTTTGTTTTTAATATCTGCTTCTGCCTTGCCCTCAGTTAGATCGGCTTCCGGCAGGGCCACCATCAGTTGGCGCTCGGTAGCTTGAAATGCTGTAGGCATCAGGTGGAGAACGGTTCCCCCTTCCCATTGAAGGGGGAGGCCCTCTGTCTTGTCTGCCAACCCGATCGTGATCATGTGAGCGGAGATCATTTTGGCTGCTTAAGTAACTGTCTCAACTTCACCATAGCTGCTGCAGTCATCATAGTGACTGTTTTCCACCATAAAATGATGGGGCCCTCCTGTAGATGGAGCTATCGTAACTGTCATGTGGATCTCTGTAGGAACCACCCCTTAAATTATATGAATAGTCATGACCACAAACGTAGCCATCTCTATCGCTATAGCCTCTTGATACATAGTCATCACATGAACTGGAATGACCATAATCATGGTAAGTATAATCTCTCAGTGGTCCTGCATAATCTCTTGTATCACAAGAATTTAGATAATCTGTGTGAATAGCTGTCTTTAGTAAACTATCTGTCATCTCTTGGGAACAAATAAACATCTGTACCAGAAGGCAGATGTTACCTTCATTACTATCTCTTCCACATGGTGGGGAGCTCTTCCTCCCATTCACTGTTGCTGGGATCTGGTCCTGATGGAGCAGAATTTTTTTTTTTAAGTAAAATTACTTTTATTTATATATATATTGATTTCAGAGAAGGGAGAGGAGAGAGAGAGAGATAGAAAGGGTCTTTGCACCTTTGTTGAAATCATTTGACCATCTATGCAAGCGTTTATTTTGGGGTTCTATTCTATTTCAT